CGATATATACCGTTACCGTGAAGGGATTCAATTTATACTGTGATATGAATTTGAGGTCATACCACTCAGCCCTACGCCTTATATATAAATTTGTATTAGCTCAGGTGCTAATGCGAAAAGCTAACAGGCGAAGCTGAAGTTCTCCTTCCAAGAAGCAGCTCTGTTGTCCTCAATTCACATTTTCAGTGACAGAGTCATTTCTACATCCTCCTCTCTGTCAAAACGCTCTGGTTTCATTGAAAATGGCTGATTGTCAGATATTGTCCAAGAAAAAACAAAAAACAAAACAAGYTKTGCACCAGCAGAGGACCTTGAACACGTCGTCATTTACCCRGTATGCTTTGCGGTGTAAATAATACAGTGCCATTACAATGATCAAATGTAAACAAAGTAATTAATAAAATGTTTATGAAATAAAGTCTGRTGTTACAACTAGACTGGACTCCCTTTAAGAGATAATTCGTCAGTATCTTACCTGTTCCTCCTCTCTGTATGAGGAGTGTGGCCTCTGCTCCCACAGGACACTCTTTGAGCAGCTCCACCACTCGTCCGTGTCCCGCTGCAGCTACGGGCTGCTGGTTCACCTCCAGGATCAGGTCTCCTTCGATCAGRCCTGATGCTCCCTGGGAGCCTGGATCTAACAGCTTCAAACACATCAACACATCCAACATCACTCCTCTGACTCACAACAGTATCAACACAATGAAAAACAAGCTGTGTTTAAAGGTTCACTGTGTGTATTTATGATAAGTGGGATGAGGAGTTCACCTGTTTAACTCGCTGACCAGTCGGACTGTCTGCAATGGTRAACCCAAATCCCTCTGCTCCTTTCACCATGGTAACAGTCAGTAGGTCCGCCCCTGATGCTGTTGCCCCGGCAACACCCACCGTCCCAGAGGAGGCCATGGAAACGTTGTCGTCTCGAGGCGTGAGCGCCGAGGCCGAGCCGGGTGTGGTGGGCGGCAGCGAGGAGCCGTCCAGGTGCGTGTCTCCAGGATGAGAGGCTCCGGCCTGGGCCAGGGCCTGAGGGGGGAGCTGGGAGCTCAGCGACAGGTACTCCAGGTACGGGTCGTAGCCGCCGCGGCCGTTCACCACCAGCGGGCGGTGCTCCAGGCCWATGGGCGTGAGGGAGGAGCTCGCCGCTGCGCTCGGGTCCTCGGGGTCGAAGGGCAGCGGGTATCCTCGGCAGAGCACCAGGGTCACGCTCTGGCCGATGGGCACGGACTGGAACAGCTTGACCACGTCGGCGTGCGTGGTGCCCAGCACGCAGATGTCGTTGATGTAGACGATGACGTCCCCTGAGAGAGGAGAGACCAGCAGCTTTACTCACGCCGGCTCACACATCGTCTGCTGCCAGCGGTTCAGCGGGGAACCTGCCGCGCTCCAAAAACACAACGTGTCACAGCCGCTTCGTTTCTGTGGTTTCAGAACGAGATGCAAAAAAAACAGAGGAAGCCCCGAGCCCCTCCAAAGAGCTGGAGAGCGACACACGACCATCTGAAGACCGCTGAGAGCATCGACAGCAACAGGTGGAGGTGACAACCATCTGCTGCTGAAACAGCAWCCAGTCAGAACCCTTCAACCACAAAAAACTCAAATATGTGAACAATTACATCGAAACGAGCTAACAATGTTTGTTTCTTTCCAAATGGAAATTCTTAATATACAATTATTTGAGGTTTCCTCTTTATATTGACATCAACAGTTACTCAAAAATTTACATAAAATTAGGATTTAGATCAAACAGTAATGTTTTATAATAACCAACAAGACAAATTAAGTCATATCTCTGGATAAGCTCATGATATCAGAATGATCCAGGTATCAAAATGTAGCTTTTAAAGCAGGAATCTGAAAATGTAATTAAGTCATTTTGACCAAATTTGACTTAATCCTCATTTTGATATGATGGGTCAAATTTAAAAACGTCTTTTAGGATTTACATCATGTATGATGGATGATGATTATTTTTCCTCTGTCAGTGATGAGCTGAAATAAAGGCAGAAGACAGGCGGTAAAGTTTTTGTCTGTCTGTGTGCTAATAAAACATCYCATGATTCACTGAAAAGATTTAAATGAAACAAATACATCTGATGAACGTTTGGAGTAAAMTTGATTCAAGATGGCCGCCACAGCTACGTGATGAAAACGACCGTAATTTAGTCAGTTTTACAGTTATTGAGCATAAAGTTTGTGTAGTTGTAGCTGAGAGTCATCCTCCACACAGAGCCTGACATTAACTGTGGGAGTCGACGCTGTTTGTCTCATAAGACGTTTGGTGTTTGATTTACTGAATTTCAGATACGTTTTTTTTATTGATTATAATAATTAGCTTTAAACAGTAAGAGAATCAATAAGTCWATTTAGTGTTAGTTTCTRGAACTTACTTCCTTGTTTAATGTGACATCATATCCGGGGCTGGGATCAGGTTTTCTATAAACATCATAGAAACATGTGATTCTGGGCTATTTCCTGGGTCTCTGAAGCGAGGTCGGATTTAGAAAATGGACCAGATCTGAGTTGTGTGGCAAAATCTACACCTCTGTAAATAAATCTTCAAGGCTGAGAACTGAATGAATTTCCTGCGCATATTATTGAGCATGATCTTTCAGTCTGTTAGCAAAATATCTCCTGAAATATTTKAATTAAACTGTCAGAAGTGTATCGCAGGATGTACCTCTAAAACAGATTAACTTTCAGAATCACTTCAACTCAAGATGGCCGCCACAGTCAACCACATTTAGCTAAGTGAAAAATGACATATAAAAGGTGTTGAGCTGAATCTTAGTGTGGTAGTAGTTGAGTGTCATTTATAACAAACTCTGAGGGCAAACAGATCAATCAAAATCTTTAAGAATTTGGCACAAAAGGCTGCAGACGCTTTGCATTCCTTCAAGGAACACGGGTTTCATTGAGTTTTAATGATGGTGTGTTTGATCGAGTGATCGCATTAATCAGCTTCAGTAAAYGTTATCTTCACTGCATTAAAAAATAAATAAACACAGTAAGGGTTCTTCTCTAACTGGATCCTCTGCTGTAGTTTAAACGTGTGGAAGGTTCGAAGTTTCAGCACCATGACAAATGCAGCTGCCTCAAATACTTCATTTCACACTTCTGGAGGCACTCTCTGGAGCAAGTGCCAACACGCACACGCTCCCGTGAGTGTGTGTGTGTGTGACGTCCACCATACATGTCAAATCCACAATCGTACACAATCCCTGAGAGCGCCGCCCGCCGCACAGCTCAAATAGGCCCGGCTAATCTCAGCCGGGGAGTGTCTGCGTGTGAGCGGCAATGTCACAGAGTGCAGACGAGCAAATTGGAGGGAAAGAAATCAGAACAGAGCAGAAAGTAAAAGGCTTGGCGGACCAAGAATGAGAAAAAAAAATAATAAAACAGAGGGAGGGAGAAAGAGATAACGGACAAAAACATACAGAGGCTGAGAACAGAGAAGAGGTGTCAGATAGCATGCTTAGATAAGGAAGCATAATAAAGCTGGAGAGACAAGAAAAGTGATGGAGATAAAAAAAACAGGGATAAGAAAGCAGATGAAAGAGAAACTGTCAAACACAAAAACAGAGAGAAAAGGTCTGAACGAGACGTTTAGGTTCCAGATCAGACCAAAACTGAACATCTTCTCTGTAAAAGGCTCAGATTGAACACTGTAGGTAACTTCATCCAGAAGAACCAGCAGCTGAAAAGATGGACGCCAGAGAACAAACACTGAGAAGATGCAGCTGCTCCTGTAGACTTTAAACCTGATGTGGTTTTGAGATTCAAAGCACAAGTGGATAATTTTATAAAAACAGGTGCAATTTTACACAAGTTGTTTCTGAGAATCCATTGAATTCTGCACCTGCAGCACCACTTTGACAGCAAGAAAAGATCTCATAAAGTAGGTATTTTTGCCAGTAAAATAATAAAAAAAAAAAAAAAGAAGCCAGATTCTAAGAAATGTTAAGTTCCACTAAACCTGGCTGAGGTTATTTAAAGTTTGTCCTCGCCAAATACAGATCTCAAAATTTGGAAGAAAACCTAAAAGAAGCTCTCGTCTGGAAGAAAAGGCACAAATATAGGGCACCATGAAWAATTCTGGGAATACAGAAACCTCTACTTCTAACTCTGACTTTTTCAACCCGATTTTAAGTTTTTGGAGTAATTTTGTTGACAGCAGAGATGCAATTTAACGTAAGAGCTAAAACTTTTATCAGATGCACATAAGAAGTGTTTGTGAAATATTTAAGAAAAAACCTTAGCAGATAAAAAGCCAGGAGACCAGAGGGAAAAAGGTTCTGGTTTGAAGATCTACGGCCGAACTTCTAGGTTTGTGCAAATCTACATTTATTATATTTGGTAGAGGCTGAAGAGAAGCTCGGCTGTTGAAATCTTACATTCAAACAGGGCGATGCTGCAGAACTAATCTAAGGATTGCAGCTTTGAAACAGCTTCAATCCTTCAAAAATCAGTCAGATACATTAACCTGACCCACCGCCTGTTTGTGTCTCAAAGTCTCAGTAAATAAATAAATTCTACCTTTGTTTAAAATTTTCTTACGTTATATCTAGAAAAAWATATATTTGTAATTCTAATCCTTCTAATATCCWTTTTCCTGCCGTGGTGCTGGAAATCCTTCCTTTAACGTTTAGCATCAATGTGAAGCTTGAGAATTCTTTTTAAAACTAGCTTGTTGCTAGCCAGGAGACGAATCACTAAATTTCTACAAACTCTGTATTTCCCCCGGTGTACTATCAGCCTGGTGGGCCGCCACGCTTTACTCTCGGCCCTGTCAGGCTAAGCGTCTCAAAAGAAGCACGCACCCTCCCCATTACTTCCAGATGGRGAGTGRAGATTGTGGCAACCAGATAAGTGGCTTGGACCTAGCWCTTTCAACATATCACTCCACCACCGAGCCATTTCCAGGAGGAAACCCTGAAACTATGAACTGTTTTGAAGATTTGGAGATGGGCAGTTTGAAAATAATAACTCAATGTTGGAAAAAATTCCTTATTTTTCCATCACGGATCACTAACGGCTGATGAACCGAGTGTTGGACTGAAAGGGGCCGGGATGAAACTGGACCACTGCTGTCAACTCCAAAATGATTGGAACTGTTTTCAAACCCCTGCAATCTACTTTGGTTGTGTTCAAAGTAGCTGTTAGCTCGTCAATTTGGTGAAAAAAAATTTTTTTTAAACTAAGACACAAAGAGAGGTTCAAACAGCCATCTGTGACAAGAAGTATATTACTGACTTCTAATGCTATCCACAGATCTGAACCATCACTTTAATATCACCTCGTCGAACAAAATGTCCCAGTTTCCTGAAATGATTTGCAGCTGACAATTTAATATTTGATGAGAAATACTGAATTTATATTATAAAAAAACGGTTTTATTCACAGCATCACTTAATGACTGAAAAGAAATCAGAAGCCAACTAAAACAAAGAACCGTTTTTGGATCAGTGCAGAAATGTTCCGTCAACGCAGCCCCAAAATCTATCTCACGTTAATACTCTTAAAGCTCAACAGGCCGGTAAAACCCTGTTGTTCAGTGAAACTGAAACCATGTCACGATAATCTCTTTCCATTTGGTCTTCTAAAGCAAGAGATGAAGTGTCAGAATAACGACGCTGCACTGAAACATTTCCACAAACACASTTCTCCGCTTAAAGCAGCCAGTTTGTTTGAGCTGCAGTTTATTTCCAAACCGGGTGTCAGTGTGTGACCAGTACAGATAATTACCCGTGTCCATTTTTCCGTCCTGAGCGGCGGGCCCGTCTGGGATAACGCTCTTCACTTGCAGGAACTCGTCGGGCTCGTCGCCTCCAATAATGGTGAAGCCGAATCCCATGTTGCTCTTCTGCAGGGCTGTCGACAGGAAGGTGCCCTTCAGCTGGGTCGGATCCCTCGTAAACAAGGGCTTTTCTGCATTTAGAACAGGTGGTTATATTTCAACACAAAACCTTGAACGTTTTGTTTCGTCACACGCTTCCTGCTCCGAGTGGGAGCTGAAAATCAGTTTTTTATATTCTCCTGATGGACCGACTCGCAGGATGTGTCACTCAAAGCGGTGCGTAATGCGCCGGGGCTCATATGTCATCATGCCCTGGATTATCGCACTGGAAGCCTTGGGGTGAGCATGTTCTTTATAGTCTGCACTTCCAGTGACTTCCATCCAACCCTATAAAGTAAAATGTGACATCTAACCCAGCCGATGCTCATAAAACTGCCCACACAAACACTCTTYTTTTTGCCCAAATGACCCAAAACAGTGGGCTTTGCTTTTCACACTTTCATTTTTCCCCAACCCAGTGAGTAAAGAGCTACAGAACCGTACCTCTGTATATCGTGGGTAAAGGTAGAGCAGAGAGKCCCTGGCTCTGCATCTGTCTCTGCTGCTCCAGGCGCCTCTTGGCTTCCAGAACCGGATTCTCAAACTGAGTCCTTCGATTGATGTGGCTGAGGAAAAAAACAGCCTCGTTAGACAAGATTTGTACATAAAAAAATAAAATCCTTTTATCCAAATGTGACAGCAGTGCAAAGGTTTGTAAAACATGGACCACAATATTTATTTTAAACTGGATTCGCTTCACAGTAACAGAAATCTTACTCCTCCTTGAACTGCAGCCTCCTGACATTGTTGAGGGCCTTTTTCTTTATAAATAAACAAATCACTAAAAAAGACTGAAAACTAGAAGATTTATTTATACAATCAGAGAACAGTTTTGGACCGTCTTGCAAAGGATCTTGTGCTTATTTCTTATTTTTCTGTCTTTCTTGGTTAAAATGACAACCGTTTAACTTTCAGGGTCATTAAACACACCTTAGACTGGGGAGGGGACGGGGTGCTTCGTTTCAGAGCACCAGACTAACGAGGAAACTTACTCTACGTAGTAGCTGCCGTAGATGGGGTCGTCTATCTTCTCCCAGCCGTAGGGCAGCTCTGAGAGAAAGACCAAAAGAAGTGGAGTCAGTTTGAGCTGGGAGCAAGAAGAAGAGCCTGAATAGAACCACTCAGGAGAGACTACATGAATCCCGGGGGGCTGGTGGACAAACCCAAAGACACTTTTTAACGGACRAACACTTCGATCAGCGGCAACACGAATCACCGAGACACGAATCACAACAAAGAGTCCATTCAGAGAAAGAGGAGGGAAAGAACACTCTGCCTTTCCTTTCTTCCTCCCTTCCTTTGTCCTCCCTTCATTGTGAACACAAATCCTTCAAGGCGGCATACCTCCATCATACTACTTCCTGTTTATTTTCTTTTCTTTTACACATCCACTTATTTTCGCCTTGAATAGTTTTCGTGTCTGCTCTGTTAATTATCTCCTCTTCACCCACTTCTCCTTCCTCTTCTCTTCACTTCGTTCGTTCCTTTCTTTAAACTCATTTCTCCTCCGACTTCAAAGGAAGTGGGTCAGATAAAGTTCCTGAACTCTGCTTGATTCGCTCCTAAATACCTACAGATGCTGGCAGTCATTTTAAAACACAAAACAAACCAATTAAATCTGTTTTAGAATTTAAAATCGTTAGATATTTGTTTCATCACATAGCTTACTGCCTTCCCACTTTTAAAAAATAAAATCAAACAGGTGTTGTTTAAAATTAGCGTTCCTCTACAAGTGTTTGTGAACCTTTCTCCTCGTTCTGCCGTCTGAATCTGGATGGACAAATCTGATGTGTCAGAATGACTGAAAAGGAGAAAAAAATGCAGAAACAGTGAGTCATCAAGGACTCAGTTTGACCCTCGGCTAATTGAGGAAACGCAATTACACAAACACACACACACACACACACACACACACACACACACACACAC